GACGTGGCTTTGAATGGTGCATACTGAACGCAATAAAAAGTCTGGAGCTATAATAAGTTTAAAAAAATGAAGTGCCCGTGTAACAGATGAGTTTTCGTCTGAAACCCTGATACTTCGAAAGAGATTGTCCAGTTTGTACAAGAGGTGCATCCAATTTTTGTCGTGATGTCAGAAAGGGTTTTAAGTTTGATGCCGGTGTAAGTTTTTGTCCGTGTAAACATGTAAAAATAGTATACATCAAAAATACATTGATCATCAATGATCTTTTTGTGTAGAATCTAAATCATCAATAAGAATCTACCCCGGTTTAAGAACCGGCGAAGATTCCTATTGAAGCCACAGATCCTACACATAGAGTTCACTGAAGACCAAGTGGTTGTGATAGTTTGAACAGTTACATATTTAAGGTGGTAAAAACCTTTTTAGCCGAGCAAGGTGGAACTAAAAAACAGCTGCAACTAAATAACTTTAGCACCGGTTTGTGCTACAAACCAGTACTAAAAGTGCTGGGTGGGGCCCCAGCATGATAACAGCCTGCCACAGCCTCATTAGTACCGATTCGTGGCACGAACCAGTACTAAAGGTTCTCCACGAACCGGTACTAATGATCGACGACCGCCTAGCCATTTGAACCGGCACTAATGTGACCGTTAGTGCCGGTTCATCTGCAAACCGGTACTAATGTGCTAAACATTTAACCCTTTTTCTACTAGTGTCATTTGGAAGAGATCCCTGCAAAGCATATTATCAAGCGTTGGACTAGGGGCGTGAGGGACATACTTCCCCCGCACCTGGTTCAGTATCAGAATGACAGTTCAGTTAACTCGTCACTCACATGCAGATGCAGGCACTCGACACTTTACCTGAAAGCTATGGAGGTTGTGCGGATGGGCGATACGAGTGCAGAATCATATGAACACACGATGAATGGTCTGGATGCTTTGCTGATCAGCAGCGCACCTTTCGCGGCCAAGAGAGATGGGTTTGGTTTTGAGGACCGTATGGAGAGGCTCTAGCCAGGTAGATTGCCTGGAAATTGTGAGGTTGATTATGTTGGTGATGACAATGGTAACCAAGAGAACAGTGGTGGTCACTCTATTAGTTTGAATGTGCTTCAAGGTCTAGCTAGCACCTCCAGATAAGCAACGAGGGGTCTGGAGGCCGACGAACAGCAAGGAGAATACACCTTACGAGGGGCTCAAGCAGACAAGGTTCTGTAGCATATGTTGGCGAGAGCGGCATAAGAGAACTACCTGCCCCAACAGAGGGGATGCTCCAAAGATTCCACGGAAGCCAGGCAAATGCACGAACTGTGGCGTGGAAGGTCACTGCCGGACAACATGCACATGGCCCTTCAGAGTTGCTGAAAAATGAGTTCTAAAAATTTAAATTTACTCTTAAAAATGTTGGTTTCCAAGGATTTTCTAGTGTGTTTCAGTGAGCATTGCTCTGCGCTTAGGCGCTTGTTCATCAGTTTTCACGGACATGTGCCATATTCATTGAGGATAATTTTTTAATATAATTTGTGTGCCCTATATTTGATTCAGCGATACACATATAGTGTCTTTCCGCCTTGTGTGTTATGGAGTCTATATTTTTCGGCTTGGGTGGTGCTGTTGCCTTTGCTGATGTGAACTACAAAAATCCTATTTGGTGAGATCGTGGGCTTCGTTACTGACTGAATTTGCAGCTAACACTTGGAAGACATGCCCGAGGAAAAACATTAAGTTTGTCTTGCTCTTCGTTGAGTCATGCGCAACGTAGAGATTCAAGATTTGAAATCGCAGGTGGAGGGATGGCACGCCAGCAGGCTGTATAAGAGAAGGCGTCCAGCAGCTGCTCTGGAGGCTTCATCATATTCGTATTTTGAAATCTAGTTGAAGCTGGCATTTCGTTTCTTATGGCACCTACGGCGACCGAGACGGCGACGAGCGGTGCAACTAGGAGATCTGAAGCCAGTGAGTCCGTCAGGGGAGTGGCGATTCAGGTAAGAGTGCTTGCTGCAAAAACGACCCCAGGTATCAGTTTGGCCTGCATGCATGCGAGCATTACTAAACTGTGTACGTTTTTGCAGTCTCTTGCATCTTCGAGCATGGAGTCAGCGTCGGCCGCATGGAGCACCACCGATGTACCTCTGACGCAATCTGGTGAGAGAGCAGACGAGATGAATGTCGGGACGAAGTGCTTTTGTCTGTAGATTTGTATTGACAACAAAGCTGATTTCTTTGCAGGGGGATGCGATACAAACAGAGCGCTGTCAGCTTTAGTACCTTGAAACAGGAGACTGACGACGAGGACGAGGATGATTCCCATGAAGAAGGCTTCGGTGAGAAGAACACGGTGGTTGTGTTTCTGTTGTGGAGGACGCATCGGCCGTAATGGAAACGGCCGAGGATATTCAGGTGGAGGAGGATGAAGTGAGCAGCGACTAAACGACGCCACACCATGGTTTTCACTTTCAGTGATATTTCACTGTAATTCACTGAATTTCATTAATTTCAGTAGACACTGAAATATTACGTTTCAGTTAAAATATTTCAGCAATTCAGTAGTACACAGAAAATCAAATATTTTTCAAAATACTTTTTGAAAATTTCAAATATTTAATTAAATTCAAATGAATATTGCGGTCTTTTGGCTGAAATGCAAACTGAAGTAACTGAATTTTACTGAATTTCGTTGGTGCTGAAATTTTGTTGAAACTGAAATTGAAAACCATACGCCACACTCAACCATGGCTGGGTTGAGCGTTGAAGTTTCATTTATGGAGGGCTGTTCTGGTGGGTGTTAGAGCATCTTAACAGCCGACCAACGCGCGGCGCGCTAAAAACTACTCCCTCCGTTCGGAATTACTTGTCACAGAAATGAATAAAAATCGATGTTTCTACAACTAAAATACATCTAGATACATTTATTTCTTGGACGAGTAATTCCGAACGGAGGGAGTAGTTTGCAGCGCGCCTATCATCAGATTTGACGCGGCACGCAGCGCTATCTCCAGCAGCCGTGCTAAAATGCAGCGTGCCTAGCTCCAGCAAGCGCGCTAAAATGCAGCGCGCGCTCTCGCACAAACACTTTGCATACATATTTTGTTCATAGATAAAAACGATACATAGTTTATAACATAGATAAAAAATGATGCAAATATATTTTACATAGTTCATAGCATATATAGATAAAGAACTACGGTGCAACTAGATAAAAAAACTACGGTGTAACTAGATAAATAAACTACGGAGCAACTAGAATCTACTCCCAGTCGCCCTCATCATCATCATCCTCGGTAGTGGTGTCCGAGGTATCGAGCCAGATGTCTTCCAAATCGGGGGAGAAGATCGACGTCCCGCCTGCCTCGACGATATCGCACTGGGATATGGCCAGTGCCTTGCGCCGACGGCTGTCGGCACGCTTCGGGAGGCACCTTGTCGTCCTCTCCGCCTAGAAGGCGTTCTCGGCGGCGACGTCCTCCGGATGGTGCCGGCCACACTCCGCCATGGCTCGCTCATCCTCCTCTGCGATGAGGAGGCGGCGCTGCACCCGACGGTGGTCCTCACGGTCCTGGTCTTTAATCAGACGAGGCGGAGGGGCGACGCGCTGCGCCTGCTCACGCGTGTAGACGTGGTGGAAGTTCAACTGCGTGTGAGGCCTCCCTAGGCGCCACGCCGACGCGTCGTACGCGCGGGCGGCCTCGTGCGCGGTCTCGAATGTGCAGAGGATGAGGCGGACGTCGCCGGACCGGATCTCGGCGTAGTAGGTGCCAGATGGGCGCATGCAGACGCCGCGGTAGCCAGATGATCCCCGGCGGCGCGGCGGCATGGTGGCGCGGTGGTGGCAGGGCGCTGAAGCACCGAGAAAGCGGTGGAAGCGACGAGGAGGCGGGGAAATGCACGCGTGGCAGTGTGGTGGAGCGTGTGGCGAGCGCCGCATTTTATAGGCGTGCGCGAAGTGGTGCGCCAAATCTACCGCGCGACTGACAACTTTCTCCCGCGCGCACAAACGTCTACCGCGCGTGGTTATTTCCCACCGGCGCTGGAGCGTAGGAAAACTTTCCGCGCGCGCTAAATGAGCATTTTACCGCACCGCGCGCATCTTTTGGCGCGGCTGTTGGAGATGCTCTGAGTAACAGCGGTTGACGCAGGATGGCTCACATCAGCACAGAAACAATAATGAGCCGTGCTTTCACTGTCTTTTGGCGCGGCTGTTGGAGATGCTCCGAGTAACAGCGGTTATTAAGCATGAAGTCGTCTTTCCGGCACATTTCATTTCAATCTATTATTTGAAAATCTATGATGGTGCACATGCTTCAAGTTCCACATATAGAATTAACAGTGCAGTAATTTTGTTGTTTTGATGAATAAACATCCAATATCAGTAGCCAGACAATTTATGTTGCCGATCAATCAAAAATTATAATTAGAAAGCCACCATAAGACACATTACAGAATCTAACTATACTTATGAATGGTTGATTTAGTAGTTCAGGGCTGTCTTCTTTGAGACTGTTAGTTTAACTTACAACAGCTTGTCGACCGACTATCTGAATGACTGATCAGATCAAATGCAAAATACTCAAGCATGCATGTTTACTGTGGGCTTGGCGATTATGTACAATTGCACATAGCAATTCTGAGAACAGAAACATCGCCATCGCTGTCGCTGTCGTCCTCATCATCCGACGGCGATTGAAGACAGAAGCACCCCCACCGTAGGAATATGGATAATCTTACATTCTCATCTGTTTTTAAGAACAAATATGGCCACGCATCTCTCTCTTCCATTATCCATACAAGGATAGCTAGCTTTGGAAAGACAAATTACCAAGGACCTATATGCATATAGACATGCGTACAGGTGCCAATTTTATTCCAATTAATATACTCTGTTTGAAGGTGAGGTAGATGGGTAGTGCAAACTAAACTTGATATTTTAATAGTGATATGATCACATGCTTAATGACCCTATAGCTGCCTAGCTGGGAGCATATTAATTTTGACAGGAGCTCAGCTGGCCGGCCGCCGGTACGCGGTGGGCACCAGCACGAGTGGCGTCTTGAGGAGGGGGGTGAGCTTACCTTCCTCCTCCATGCTCACTGCAGTCCCCTCGGGGAGCGCCCACTCAAAGCAGTACAACAAGTTGGCCAGCGTGAACTCCACGGTTGCGGTGCTCATAGACAGGGCGGGGCATATCCGCCGCCCCGCGCCAAATGGCGTTAGCTCGAAATGTGCGCCCTTGAAGTCTATCTCGCTCGCCTCAAACCTCTCTGGCTTAAACTCCTCTGGGTCATCAGACCAGCTTGTCGGGTCCCTGCCAATGGCCCATGCGTTCACATAGATCCGTGTCTTGGCCGGCACATCATAGCCGCCAATTTGGATGTCCCTCATGGCCTCCCTCGGCAGCAACATCGTCGCTGGCGGGTGCAGCCGTAGGGTCTCCTTGACCACCATCTTGAGGTAGCCCAGATTGGCCAGGTCGTCGTGGCGCACCCTCTCGTTGCCGCCCACCACGCCCCTGATCTCGTTTTGCACCTTCTTCAGTAGTCGTGGCTTCCGGATCAGCTCCGCCATCGCCCATAGGATCGTCACCGAGGCCGTGTCCGAGCCACCAATGAACGTGCCCTGTATGCATGGTGGTGAGTGATGCCAGTTAGTTGATCTTTTTTTCCCTTGATCAGGACAGGATAGGATGTAGAGGCCACTCATATAACGTACAAAGATGATGCCCTTGACGTGGTCTCTCGTGATGCTGAGGGTGCCACTTTTGTCCTTCCAGAGGCCAATGAGGCGGTCAACGAGGTCGCCATTGTGAGGCTTGACGCGCCGAGGGTCAAGATGCTGCTCAATGATGATCTCAAAGAAGGTATCAAGCTGCTTGAAGATCCGCTCGCGGCGAGCAGCGAGGCCGGTGATTCGGTCGACTAGGCGGCCGATAATGTTGGGGAAGTAGTCCTCGGCGGGAAAGCTGGCCTGCGCGTGTGTGGCCTCCTCGAGCACGTGCTCCAAGTTCTTGTGGTGTGGGAACTTGTCGCTGTTGTACATGTCGCCAAACCCCATCATGCCAATGATGCCGTCGGCGAGTCTGAAGATGTGCTCCTTGAGCGCCACGGGCTCTCCGGCCAAGCCGCTCAAGGTGCTCATCAGCTTCTCCACCTGATCATGAATACAATCCATAACCATACAGTGTTTCTTGATCGATCAGTTGAACCATTATACATGGTCATGGTCGTACCTGGTGCTGACGTGCGTGCCATGTGGCCTTGGCGTGCCGCACGCCGAAGAGTTCGACCATGAGGAACTTGCGCATCGCCTGCCAGTAGGCGCCATAGGGCGCGAACCCGACGTTATTGAGGCCGTAGGACAGCCGCTTCATCCCCGGGGACACGGGCCGGGTGCAACAATCCTCGTCATGCGTCTTCATCACCTCCCGCGCCGCCTCAGCCGACGACACCACCACCGTCGGCACCGTGCCGAGCTGCAGCTGCATCACCGGCCCGTGCCGCCATGCCAGGTCCCGTAAGCTCCGGTGTGGCAGCTGGCCTAGCTGGTGCAGATTCCCCAGGATCGGCGCCTGGGTTGGGCCTGGCGGTAGCCTGAGCCGTTTGTTGCTCAGTCTCCTTGTCAAGAACACGAGGGAGATGGCCGGAAGGAGTGCTAGGAGGAGCTGCCATTGTTGGGATAGGGAGAGGAGCTCCAAGCTGAGCGAGATGGCCATTTTGTTTCTTAATTGGAGGATAACAGCATGCAGCTCCTTGTGTTAATTTGGTGATGCCGTGTTGCCGCTTGTGTGGTAGAGGCCCGACTTTTAAACTTTGAAGAGAAGCCTGGACTGTAGGGAGGATTGAACAAATCCAGTGTGAATCGATCGTGGACGCCGACCGGCCCGGTGTTTGTCGGATGTGCCGAAGCATAGGTGGCAAAGTTTTGGTAGCGAGCAACGTGTAACTGAACAAACCAACCACCTTGACTCTGCTGATTGGGACATAGAGTTTCCTTTTACGTCGTGTCTCATCATTGCCAAAATTTGGTCAATGGAGCCCATTGCCATATCGGTCCTGCTGGCATGGCATATACCCATCATTGCCAAATTTGATCCATGGAACTCATTGCCATATCGGTCCTGCATACGTGGTGCTATTGGATCCTCTAAAGAAGAGGGGGAAAAAAATCTTTGTTTTGACAGGAACATGGATCATATGCTCTGTCTTTATTCAGTGTATCGTGCTGATTGGCCCCTTATGTTAGAAAAAACTTTGATGATAAACACAAAAATATACACGACGATTGAGCTGTCTGGTCTGACTGACTCCAGCTCCATCGGCAACCAAATAAAGTTACTACTACATCGGCCATGTCATCCATCTCCATGTTCTATAGAATTTTGACTTGATTTGTCACAAGATAATGCTTCTGGCGCAGATAAATTTTCTTTCTTCAATACTCCAGTTGCTATGTTATTACTAAGTATGTATCACTGTTGCAGTTGGTATTTGTTCAGATATCATTGTTAATTTTTTTAAGAAAGGGATTTCTCCCTGATTTCCAATAATAGAAACTAAAATGTCACTGCTGCTATGTCATATTTGTTCAGATATCACTATTGCTATATCGCTGTTGCTGCAAGTGGGCATTAAGTACACAGATGGAGATGTAAGGCACATGCTAGATATTTGTCCAGTCATTTATTTTGATATCTAAGTTGGGTCGGTTCACCCACATGCATGCTTTGATATGTAATTCATTTTGGTACTACGACTATCTCATTAGACAATGGTTCTGAATCGACCACGTTCCTTGCCCCAAAGACTACAGATATTTGCTGTATTGATTAAAAAAGCCATCCATTCCGTTGATATTTTTGCATGGTGGGCAAAATGATATCCATCAGGGTGAACTACACTTATTTCAAATGTAGGAATTATGTGTCCCTCAACTATTTAATTTCATTTGGAAGTTACCTTATTGTGGCATTATTGTTGATCTGGAATGATTACTTGATGGATTTTTTTTTTTTTGGAAATAGAGGCATGCCCCCGGCCTCTGCATCATGACGATGCATGCTGCCATCTTATTATGGATTTATAAATAGATGAACTTATACATACTAAAGGTGTACCTAAAGTAAATACTTGAGGAAGATTAGAACTGGAATATAATATTTTCCTTTTCATTTGTTTAGGGTGTTGGTTTGGTCCCTTTTGTCCTGATCACCATCATTGTTGTCATTGTTGCTAGGCCTAATCATACTCCTGTAATGGATGCTAGGATTAAGAGTAGTAGGACATCAAATGTAGGAATTATGTGTAATGGATGCAAAATGATATCCATCAGGGTGAATTACACTTATTTCAAATGTAGGTGTGTCCCTCAACTATTTAATTTCATTTGGAAGTTACCTTATTGTGAACTATTGTTGATCTGGAGTGATTACTTGATGTAATTATAAATAGAGGAACTTATACATACTAAAGGTGTACCTAAGTAAATACTTGAGGAAGATTAGAACTGGAATATGATATTCTCGTTTTTCAGTTTTCATTTTCTTAGGGTGTTGGTTTTGTCCCTTTTGTCCTGATCACCATTAGTCTTGTCATTTTTGCTAGGCCTAATCATACTCCTGTAATGGATGCTAGGATTAAGAGTAGTAGGACTTAATTGGGAGTAGTCTGGTAGCTACACCTTGTCTAATGTTGTATGTCAACAGTGTGTGGTTGTGTTGCGCAAAGGCAGGTTGGGCAGCGCATTGACGTGTGCGTGTAAGATGAGACACTGAACTACTTGAACATATATGAAGGATATTCGCAAAAAAAAATATGAAGGATGTTCTGGAAGCGCTCCATCCTCCATGTGAAGCCTATTGGTTCAAAAGATTAGGCAGTTTGCCGCGGGTATTTGATATACATATGAAGTATGTGTATTCAGATATTTTTGTGTAATTGCCTGCTATACTGAGTTCTGACCACTGTTTATTGTGTTTTCGGTTTTGTTACAGTGTTCTTGAGTACGAGCTCCTCAACTTGCATATTCCAGCAAACAACATAGTAGGATCCCTTGTCAAGTCTGGCATCAGAGTGCTAATTTTACAGGTATAAATAGATAAAAGGTTCAGAGAGTAGCTCTTTAGCAACATAAAGGTCAAGAATATCTTCGTAGAAAACAAAAAGATCAGAAAACTGAATCTAAGTACCAGGTGATTAAAAATTTATCTGTACTTTACTGTAACATGGTATAAAATACCTGAACGGAATTTGCGGTGCCTCTGAAATTCTAAAGCTCAAGAATCTGGTATTTAACCTTATTGGGTTGCTTGTAAAAAATAAATAAAAGGGGTGGAAAATAAAATATGTGGAATTGGCACTTTACATAAGGTTTCAGAGCATTTTAGTTTTGCCGCCTTTATCATGATACAAATTGGTATCTGAATCTTTTTTTTTTTGAGGGTTCTCTGAACTTTAGGGAAGCATAAAGTTCAGGTAGAACTGACGTAAGATCTCTGTTCCCTCACAAATTCAGCTATTAGTTGAAAATCTATATCTTGGAGGAGGATGCATTGATTTAGTAGTTCAGGACTGTCCTTTTTCAGACTGTTACGTTAACTTACTTGACTGGTCACTACTTATTCGAAGATGCCGAGTTGGAACGTCTAATCGGATCAAATGCAAAATACTCGAGCATGCATTTTTACCATGGGCTTGACAATGTACAAGCTCATAGCAGGTGCTTAACTCTGATATTGACGGTTTGGTGTTGGTAACTACTCACACGAATAAGAATATATTTTATCACATAAAGTGCTTGCATTGTGTACCAGTAGTATCAGAGAACATCGTGACCTGAAAGGGAAAGAACACTGTCCAGAATCCACGAGGCTTAACTATTTAGCCAACAAGATTCCATTCAATTCAGTACTTAAAAAGTAACTTCAAGCCCAGAGATGCTAATGACTTTGTGGCCATTCCTCTGGCTCAGCCATGGGCTAAGTCGAACTCTGGAATGCGGGAGATTTTCGGGGCTGAGGTGTGTGTGTGTGTGTGTCCCATTTGGATAACTTGGACTAATGCTGTTTTCGCAGTGGAGGTGGAGATGCTTCTGAAAGTCATTCGCAGTCTCCAGCTTCGCGAAAGCCAGCAACTCTGGCTTGGGTGCACCTCCAGGAATGGCGGCAGCTCCGACTTGTGAAACGACGATTATGCCCTGGTTTCATGGGTTTCCTGCTCCCGGTTAGAAGTTCTATATATGTGGGTGGCTTAACTGCTATTTTTTGGGCTATTCAACTCCCAGATCAGAGACAAGCTACTGGGGAAAGACTCTGCTAACATTGACAGCACACTTGATAACAAGACTGGCCAAAGTTTCTGTCAGAAAGTAAATGAGTGCTGGGAGTTGAACAGCGAGGAGCAGAAAGGAGTTGTTATAATGCAATGGAATCCGGACCAATGTACGCACTTGGAAACCTCAGGGATGCTTATATTTGGCATCTGGATTGATTTTGCCAACTTGAGGTCTGAAAAATACGCTGAAAACAGAGACCTAACTGTGGAGAACGGTGTGGCCGAAGAAGATGCATTTCGCAGGGACCTAACAATCAATAGCTTATTCTTCAGTATTAACACGGAATCATCAAAAGGTTTTGCTGGAAGAGGTCCTGAAGATATGAAAAAAGGCCTTATTGTTGTTACTCCTTTACGTGCCGTTCCTGGATGATCCCCTCAGGGTTCTTTGAGCGATCCGGTTTGCTGCTAGGTTCAGCTATACATTAGCTGGAGATTTGAAAGAAGCCGCCTCTGATGAAACCTTAAAGTGGTGTCTTACTAGGAAGGTTACCAGAGAACGTATTTGGCCACGAGGTTATTCTCCATGATGTCAGACAAACATTCAGTTCATGCAATGCAATGCAACGCGCTACATCAACGATCTGTAAGATGTTAGTGTTTATATTCACACGACTTTCATTCAAATATTACATACCGTATTTGTTGCTCTTCGTAGATCAAATAAGTGAAGTGCTTTATCTTGTGATGCGCCCGGGCTGTTAGAGTTGGTGTCGAATATTATTGTACAAGTTAGGTTACAGTTGGACTTGGAGTCGTACGGTGTGTAGACAGGATATGGAGTCGTGTCCAAGTAGGACACTTGTATCCTAGGCCTCTCATATATAGCGAGGGTAGACACACGATGTAACATATGCCAACATAATAGCACGAGCACGCGGGGGAGCCGGTGGCATGTGCCGGCGCCCGGGCGGCCAGGATGCGGTATTCTGACAGTATCATGGGGAGGAGCGCCCATAGTCAGGCCCGGAGATGTAGGTGAACCTCGTTAACAAATCTCGGTGTCGTGCCTCGTGTGATTGCGTGGTCCTCGGTAGATCGACGGAGTGCCTCGGATTATTCTAACAAGTGGTATCATGAGCAAGGTTATGAGGAGGCTGTGGAATTTGATCTTGAGGAGAGGAGAAAAGATTCGTCAAATCGATCGTCCAGAAGTCGGACAGTTGAATCGGCGGCTGCGGAAGGTCGATGGTGCGGCGTGGTTTTATTCGGGTTCCTTGAAGTGATCCAAGGCATCAGGTTCGTGCAGCGTACTCAAAGGGCCGTCTCGGCGTGATCGATCAGATCGCGTACAGGCGACTGGCAACGTAAGGCAGTCGTCCAGCGGCGGCGGCGCTCAGGATCGTCGTTCGGAATCGACAGCGGTACAAGGGCAGGCGATAGA